AACAAATTCAGTTGACAAATAAAAATTAAAGAGAAACAGAGAATTTGGGAATGATTAATTTATAACATACCAAAATCCGAACCATTTTATGACTTTTTTCTTGTTGGCCACATTGCTGACAAAGATGTTTATAATCATGTGATAATTTTAACCTACAGGACAGGGGACTGATTGGGCAAAAACCCAGTTCAGTCCCCTACCCAAAATTATAAATTGGTTAGTATCAGAGAAACAGAGAATTTATGAAAATGATTATACACAACAAACACTATTTTACAACTTTCCTCTTAACATCAGAATCCAAATGTAATTTCAGGGCTACAAACCCTGCTCTGAATTGTGACCTCCTGTGCTTGAACAAGCTGCAGATTCTCTTAATATTCCTCCAGAGTTGCGACTTGGTCACAGAGCCATCCTTACCCAGAGGTAGGATCGTTGCAGGCAACTTTTCGACCAGCATGTCAGCAGTTTTCTCTGGTCTGGGAAGATTGGTGAAAAGCGTCATTGACGATTGATGCAGTCTCGGTAAATTCCAGATCCACGCGCCTTCTGGAATTCAATTGTATCATCATATCTTTGGGTCGCCAGGTCAAGATTAGCCTTGTGCACACGACGAGGAAGATGTAAGAATGGCTGTAATGTGTTCAAGGTGGTGTGCGTGCTTCAACACTTGTCAAATTCCGATAATCAAACTTCGCATATCAAAATGTTTCTCTTTCAATGGCGTATTGCCTTGACATCTTGTAGTTAAATTATATATTAATATTAATATTGATTACGAAAAGCAAAATATTATTATTATCAATGAAAATCTTGTAATTACCCAGCAAGATCTGTTCCGCGTTTTGATTCCAATTAAAATATTTATAAGCTAAAATAAAAATATCAATACAAATAAAAAAAGTACCTCCAAACCAAACCAAACCAAACAACAACACTCACGTTTTGTCACCTTGGACTCTGTCAAAAAATAAATTAATTGTTTTCCAAAAAAAAAAAAAAATCAATTCGCGTCTAAAAAAAAACCAATAGGATAAATAATTAATGTGTACGCGTCGATCAAATAATAAACTTCTTTATTTTATTTTGTAAACATGTCTTATACAACAAAAAAAAGAAGCAAAGGAAAAGATGCCATAGAAGTAAAAGGGTAAGTGTTTTAAGGATGGTGGTGGTGGTTATCGCCACTCGATGTCACTCTAGTTGTATATATATTAAATATGTTTACTAGTTTTTTTACTTATTTAGAGTGGAATATGACGCTGAAATCTCCAATGGAAGAAAAAGAAAAGCCTCAGATCGTATAGATGTAATTAAATTGTATTATTCTTCAAAGGACAAAATTGATTAATTAATGTATAACCTAATATATATTAACATTAATCCAATTTCTTAACAACAAGACCAATCAACCCGCAGATAGCAAAACTATTGAAATTGATTTTAATGATATGAGTAAAATTTTGGACCAAGGACCATCAGAAAATAATGTATGTGGTAAATTAAATTTCAATTTTTATAGTATGTTTACTAAGCATAAAATGTGACTATTGGGTATTTTTCTATGCTATAGTGGATAGTAGGTACCAGAGAAATTTAAGGGATACCAGAGAGATTTGGTTTCCAAGATTAAAAATAAAAAAAGTTTTTTTTTTGTGTTTGTAATTTTATGACAAGTTCTTTTGCTCATTTTTTTGCAACTTCATATTATAGGAAAATGTCTCACAATTGGCTGATTCATACAAATATCCAACATTTGCTACTACACCAAATTCATACACAAATTAGTGATGAAGAGTATAAGATTAAAAAAGAAAAATTTTCTAAATTTTTTAACCAAGGAAACGAACCATTAGACTTTTTGGTAGAAAAAAATCAAGAAAAAGAAGAATTTTTTTGGGAGAGAATTGGAGAAGAAGTTGATAAAAAAAATCCAACATTAGTCTCAGGTTTCAAAGCCGAGGACATTAATCACGCAATTAAAATCATTATTGAAAAAATAATATGATGGAAATAATTGGTTGTTGATGCAAGATTAGTTAATCAAAATTTTAGAAATAGTAATAGCAATAATGACATATTTAATATTTTTCTATTACATATATATATCTTACATTTATTTATCTTTCAAAAAATAAATATATTTGCTTTTTTATACAAATTAAAAATTGTATGCTATATTTTACCATTTGGTCCAAATTTATCGTTTTGTCTTTTCTAATCCTTCCAAACTAAATCTAATTTTAATTTTTGGTTTATTTTAATCTCTTCTCTTATATCATTAACATGATCCCCCTGTGACATCCCAACTACCATCTGACCCAACAACTTTACTATTAAAAATTGAAGAATCCCTTGAAGGATTGTGCCATGAGATTAAGAATTTTAAGTAAATTAACCAGCAGAGCTTATTTTTTAACTTTACTACCCCCAACATATAGAAGTTTCTAAATTTCGGCAATAGTTTCAGCATTCATTTGTATTTTCGGCAACAAACTGCAGTTTTGGCATCGTGATTGAGTTTCGGAAAAGTGACTAAGTTTTGGATTATTAATTTCTATAACCTTTTTTTTCTGAGTTTTGGCATCATCACATTTTAGTTTAGGCAAACTTCTATACCCCAACACAACATGAGAAAATAGAAACTAATTAAGATTACATAATTATTTTAAAATTGTCTTTTCAAGTGAATTGTAATTTATCATTTTCAAATTATTTAATATTATTTATAATGAAATATTTTACAATTGATGTTTATTCATCTCACATTGATAAGTAAAATATTATTATCTGAAATTCTTGGTAATACCAATGTTCACTTTGTCTGGTTTTGTTGCAGTATTGCCCATATATATTATTACATGAAATCAAAAAAAATTAAATTAAATGTGTGTATATCTTTGCTACAAATGCTATGTATAATATGCTGTATACAATTAATACATAAAATAATCATTATATAAAATACATGAATCATATATAAATAATCTAGATTTAATCAATACTCCACTGTTATCATTATTATTATTAAAATTACCATCATTAATTAATACAGTTAATAATAATAGAATATAAAAATAAAATTCAATTAATAAAAAATACTTGAAAAAATTTAAAATGCAAATAAACCTAAAGGATGATTACTAACATGTAAATTATTAGTACTTGATTCTTGATAATTTGGATTTTTTTGTCGTTGACTTTCTTCAAGTTTTTTAAGGAGTTTCCCATTATCATTTTGTATACCCTTATTTTTATTCTATATTTAAAAAACCAATTAATTATAATAAAAGAATTAGAATGATAATAATTGGAAACAGAAAAATAATAAAAATAATGGTATATGAATAACCTTTTGAAGACGTTTCTCTGTTGCTTCAGCGATAACATTACGTAAAGGAGTGTTTCCCCCTACAACATCAACATTATTATTATTGCCACCACCAAGAGTTCTACCACCTTTGTTCCTACCACTATTTCTATTACTATTATTACTTTTAATAATATTACTACTAGTATTACTACTAATTATCCTATTCATATTATTATTATTTCTACCAGTGCTACTACCATTATTACGAGTATTATTAGAATTATTATTAGAATTATTGTAGTTGTTATTTTTGTTGACTACATTTGAATCAACATCACCAAGCCTATGACCATTTTTATTAGTTTTTCTTTTTTCACTAGCAGAAGACTGACTACTGACGCATCCTCCCATGATTTTATTTGTTTGAGTTTTTTTTAAATCTAAAAAGCCATTTAGACTTTGTATTATCTGTTTATCTTGGTAAATCCCTTTGTTGGCAATCTTTAATGCAGAAATTTGATTGGTTTAATTGAAAAATGACATTATTTACATGTGACAAATTAAGTCATTATCTTATTTCATGGGAGAGAATTGGTAATTATTAAATATTAATATTAATAAAAAAATTACCACAAGTTTTTTTTATCTCTTTGAAAGAATTATTAATATTTATATGTAAATATGAAGACATGATAAACTTTTAGCCACAGAACTCAAAATCAATGGAGCCAATTCAAGTTCGATAACCATTTCCAATAACAATCATTGTAATCACACGGCTAATATGGGGAATTGAAGATCTAGCTGATAAAGGGCAAGACTTCTTTAGCCACATGTCATGTCAAATTCTAAAAATAAAATTTAAATTTAAATATGGAGGCTTGTGGTTTTGAATTCATATGGGTGGGGTAACGAATAAAAGAAACCAGATTTAGCAAGTGTAAAAAAAGATTGGAGGGAAGTTAGATTATGAATAACGCCATAATAGGCAAGTAAAGGGTGTGGCATCCTACAAGTATTTAATAATTTGTTTGTAATAATGGATGACAAAAAAAAACATCAACATAATATTATTATGCAATATTTTTTTTATTTTAAAAAGAATCATTGTTTACAGTATACACAATTAATAATGTCTGTGTGGATTTAGTGTGATATCATTGTGTTTTTTTTTTTTGTTGTGGTTGTGGAGGGAAGAAAGATAACACAACACAAAAAGTTTATTTGGTTTAATTTAATTTAATTTAATTTAATTAATTATAGACCATAAAAATAATGTATATAATCTTCTAACCTTCTAAATTATCTTCTATTTACTCTGGACATCTTGATAAAAAATTTATAATTGGAGAAAATAATAAATAAGTGATAATTTGCTCAATAAAATCATTGATTATGAATGAATCAAAGTAAAGTATTATTAAATAATTTTTAACTATAGAATAATAGCCTACGATTGTACTTATAGTATAGTAATAATAATAATAATAATAATAAAGGCAACCCTTGCAGAATATAAAAATTTAAAATTACAAGAACAAGAAACAATAAAAATGAAAACCTGATCTGTGTTACAAGCAATATTTAGGATGGAGAATTCCACTTTTTTTAAATATATTGTTTATTGTTAAGATTTTTATAGTAGTACATGCATTTTAATTAGATTCATTTTCCTCAATTCATCCCGCCAAATAACATCGTCATCTAATCGTTATTATTATTATTTTATTCGCAATCGTCAATCATCATCAAAAAAACACGATACTGCACAAACAACTCTAAAAATTTTTACCATTTGTTATCATCATCTTTCAATCCCACTCCCTTACATTTTAGCTCATTTTAGACATATATAGTTATTGGTTTGATAGAAGTTTAATTGTAATAGCTTAATTTTATGTATTAAAAAAATTTTTTTTTTATAGTTTATTATATAGTAGTTTATTTTATATAGTTGAATTACAATATTTTTAATTAATAATAAATATTTATTAATTTTAATTATTTATTTATTTATTTATTTATTTAAAAAACAGTTCCCCTCCTTGTTTTTATATTTATATATTTATAAATATATAAATTTTCGTTTATTTTTCCACAAAAAAATTTCGTTTTCTTTTTTTTTTTTTTTTTTTTCTTAAATTATTATTAGATAAATTATATAATACACATATTATTATTCTTTATTATATATATATACATTATACATTATTATACATTATACATATATATAGTTATTTTATAAACATATATATATTTTTTAAAAAAAAAAATCGAAAAAAGTTGTGCCTAGTTCATGACTTTTTTTATACAGATTTTATTATTTTATTTGTAGTAATAATAATAAAGGGTCTTTAAAAATTTTGTTTTTAAAACCGAAAAATTTTTTTTTGTAATTCTGAAATTCTGGCAAAAATCTCGTATTTGGCAAAACCTTTTCTTTACATTTTTCTTTATATTTTCTCTTTATCTTTCTTAATTTTTTAAAATAAAAATCGATTTATTTTTTTCTTCTTTTTTCGGCAATAAAATGGCAACCACTCCAACTTTTTCTACTTTATATTTTCCAACTCACGTTACTTCTACATTTTCACCACTTTCACCACTTTCAAATCCACCACTACCACAAACAACGACAATGACAACATCAACAACGATGTCAACTTCTCAAGCTGTGGTTCCTCCTGCTCCTGCTCCTCTTCCGCCTCCATCACTTCAAAATAGCGTCTACTCCAGTGACCCACGCGCTCACCATATTAGCAATAATAATAATAATAATAATAATAATAACAATTCTTCAAATTCTTTTTATCTTCAGGTTTATCCCAGTAATATCAACAACACCAATATGATCAATGCTAACAATGCTTCGTCAACTCAACAACAGCCACAGCAACAACAACAACAACAACAATTGTTGGCAACGAAATTATCAATTGCATCTCCTGCTTCTATTTCCACTGGTGGAAAAGAACAAAACTATTTCAACACTACCGCTAACAACAACAACAACAACAACAACAACAACAATTATAATTATAATTATAACTACAATACTTCTAATATAAATATTAATAGTAGTAATAACAACAACAACAATAATAATTTGTCTAAAAACTTTCTCCCTCCAATAAATACTACATCACAGTTCATTAGCTTTAATACAACAAACACGAACACGAACACGAATGCAAACACAAACATAAACACGAACACAAACACGAATACAAATAACAATAATTTACTCTCATCACTTCAACACGACCGAATCACACCATCTTCTGCTTCTTCTGCCTCTTTACTCAACATCAACACTAACGCCACTTCAATCAACAGATCTCGACTTGAGCATAGACGTAGTAGTGATCCGGTTTATCATAATGTGCACTCAACAATGGATTATTCAATGTATTCTACTGATTCATTACCATCTCTACCTTTACCACCAAATACATTCACCTCTACTTCTACTTTAAACAGATATCCACATCATCATCAAAATTATAATCATTATCAATATAATCAATATAATCAAAGTAGTCAGCAACAAAAACAAAAGATCAATCATGTGATCTTCTCTTCAACCACTACAAATAATAAAATATCAAAAAAATCTTCTAATCTTTCAAAGATATTAAGTAATGATGATGACGATTATGGTAAAGATAGACGACAACCGTTTCACAAGATCAACACCAAAAGGTTTAAATGTGATGAAGATTTTGAAAGAATTGATGATGATGATGTTCTTAGAGATACTAATGGTAATCTATGTTGTCAGGATAGGTGAGTGTTACTTGGATAATAGAATAAGATATATGTAACATCATCGGTATATGGAGATATAATTATTTATAGATATATAAGTAGATGATTTACTGATTTTGTTTTCCGAAAATCTAATAATTTCAAAAAAAAACATATATACATATACACTTATTAACATTATATAGTGGAGTCACATACATGTCATCGATAGATATCAATAATAATAACAACAGTACGGAAAGCTCACCATCAAAAAGTTCTCCGATTACGTTAAACGATAGTAGTAATGACGACACTCAAAATAACAGCACATTTACTGAACAATTACCTCAACAACAAATCTTACGTCAAAATAAAGGTTTGAGACATTTTAGTAAACAAGTATGTGATAAAGTAGAATTGAAAGGTGTTACCACTTATAACGAGGTACGCTTGGACATAATTTTTTATGTAGGAAAGAATTAGGGAAAATGCAGGGAGGTTTTGTCTGGTGGTTAATTAGTTGATGTTTTTTTTTAAAAGGTTGCTGATGAACTTGCAGAAGATTTTGCTGCTCAAATGCAAGATATTGGTGGTGTAAGTAATCAATCAACAAATCAATTAACTTACTTATTGCATATAATTAATAATTATTTTATAAATTTTTTTATTAGCAAAAAGTAGATCAAAAGAATATAAGACGTCGTGTATATGATGCATTGAATGTATTAATGGCAATGGACATTATAGCTAAAGATAAGAAAGAAATTAGGTGGCTGGGTTTACCAGGTCAAAAAAGGAATATCAATAATATTAATAACAATAGTAAAAATAATAACAATAATAATTCTGGCGTCGTTGTTGTTGGTTGTGGTGGTTGTGTCAATTGCAGTTGTTGTATTAATAGTAATAACAATAGTAGTAACAATAATAACAATAATGACATCAACGATATTAATGTTAATTCAGCTTTATTACCTGTGACGACTGATGCTGAAATTGAAAGACAAAAATTTGAGCTTCAAGAGTTGGAGGTAAAGGAAAAATATATAAATAAATAGTTTAATAAAATTTTTATTAATTATGATTTTTTTTTTTTTTTACTGGAATTCAGCGACAAAATCGAAATTTAAACAAGCAAGTTAATGATGCCAAAATTGCTTTTCAAAACAAAATTGCTCAAGTCAGTATATTAAATATAAGTTTATACTATTAATTACTATTGATATTGACATTCAATATTAATTTTTTTTAAATACACTCTCACTCGTGTAACATTATAATAACGAATAGCACCTTCACATCTGTAATCTTGTGAAGAGAAATAAGTTAAACAGTTATCAATATCAATCCAATAACGGTAAATCAAAAATATATTTTCCATTCAAGCTTATACGTTGTCCGCAAGGAACACAAATTGATATTCAGAGTGGACAGGATGGGTAGATTATGTCTATAATAGAATATGTTATTATGTTGTTATCATAGTTATTATTGTTTGTCTAACACTGATTGATATATTACTAGGTTTCTTACATTTTATCCAAATAAACCAACAATACTTAATGATGTTGACATCCTACAATGTATTGGAATGGATAAAATTTCTCACAATGATATGCAGAGTTGGATTAATCCTGAACATTTAAAATGGGTCATCACAAAACAAGCTGTTGATGGTGATTATCGTATAAATAATAATAACAATAACAATGGTAATAATGGTTTCAATGTTTTTGGTAGTGGTGGATTTGGCAATCCTGGCGGTGTTTGTGGAATTAATAATAACAATAACAATTATTGTGGACATTAATCATTTTCATCTTCGTTATCTATCATGTTGATGAATATGAATCTCTTTTTTATTACTCGACACTTTTTTTTTCTAAGCGATTTTTCTTTTTGAAGTATTTTTTGGGCTAAGATTTTTTTATATATATTTTACAATAAGCTGTGTTTGTTTATAATAAACGTTTCGGTGTCTTTTTTAAGTTAATCGTTGCCATTTTAAAAATGTCTATTTTGATTTGTGAGAACAATTTAATTTTATGCACAAAAAGTCATGGGCTAAAAAGTCCAAAATTTTTTTTTAGTCTTTCCTTGTCAATATTCCCGCGCATTAATTTAACCAATCTTTTAAGAAAATCAATTAATGTAAAGTTTGGTTCACCAAAACACATATGAAGTAATAATTATTCTTTTTTTTTAAAAAAAATGGCGCGGGACCTCTTTTGTAACAATAGAATAATATAATAACTATTTGTAGTTTTTCCGTTAAGATAATACCAATTTTTAACAGAATCTATATTTACTATAACGATAAAAAGATAGGACAGAAAGTAATTAATTGACTCACTCCTATATTTCAAAGATCACGTGCTAAAGACCGAAAATTCTGTAATTCACTACTCAAAAAGGAAAGATGATAAGGAATAAACTTTATTAATTTCATTTTTTTTATCTATTCATTAAATTCAGGACCCGTGAGACTTATTATTATAATTATATTTTCGAACTGCATATTAATATTAACTAATATTCTGTCAAATGCCCCGTTGGTAAAACTTTAAAAAAATTCGCATAATCAGAATGACATGATTAGCTAGTTGAAATTTTACATACATATAAAAAAATACTTTCAGCTTTGAACATCCAGAATTCCACAAAATTCTATGATAATGAAAAGACTAATAAAAATGAAGCTTGGAATATTGTTCCTAACCAAATATTTAAATCAATTCATTTCGTAATTATTTCAAGTATTCATAATACTCGTAATATTGTTTACAAATATTTAAAATTTAAGTTTATTATTGTCAATATTTGTTTACGCAATAAATATGAATATTATAATTACAAGTATTTTGAAACAATTACGCCGGTGACAAAAATTTGCATATCTCAACAATTACAAATAGATTTAAAGTTTACCAAATTACCTTGTTAAATAATAAAAAATTGTCATGAAATGCTGTTGCCAATCTTCTGTAAAACTAATTCATATCTTTTTTTAGAACTATGCTAAATTTTGTCTCTGAAATTTTAACACGGAGTTTTTTAATAATAATTCCGACACAAAATATACATCATATAAAAAATCATACCAGTTCGTAACGAAAGTTCCGGAGATTACGTATATAAACCTTCATACTTTTAGATTTTCTAGAATTTTGTCAATTGGAAATAAAAGAAGTTTGATTATTTTGAAAAAAAAAATCTGTAAATTCCTTTAATAATTGCTCTAAAACCCATATAACAATATGTTTATATGTTATAATTTAAGATCCTCCAATTCTCTGATATAATTTTTATCATATAAATTTGGCTACCTTTTCATTAAAAACAATATTTTACAAGCCGTTGTTTTTTCCTAACACACTGTAATTACAAGTATCATACTAAAATAATTAATGGTTGTTTATTATCCGGGTATTTGAGTACTTGGCCAATCAATAAAGCCTAATACCCGATAATTGGTCAGTCAATAAGTTCAACATTCGGAAAATCATCTGCAGAATATTAATTTAAATTTATTTAAAATTTAATACAAAAATATAACAATTATTTATTCATCAGGAAAAATATTTTCATTACATTACAAATTGTTTTAAGAAATACAATCCTCTCAAATAACAATGGATTCAATTTTGTTCGTTCGGCTGTCATTGTGTTTCTAGATTCACTAAATAGACGCTCAGAATAGAAGTTGCTGCAATGCATAAATATTTTTTAGCTAATAACGACACAATTGAATATTCATATTACTTGATATATTATTATAACGAAAAAATGTTGATGATAGCGTATTAGTGGATAAAATAGTATATATAAAAATTTCATTAATTACGCGGGATAAAATTATTCATTATCAGTATTAGTAATTGCCTAAATTTCGTTTTTCGAGTATATAATTGCCGTGTAATTACCTGTTATTATTATACAGTGTCACCAATCAGGATTTTCATGTAAATGAACTACCAATTTTAGAGGCCTGCATGGATAACCCATATCCAACCTATACCCACATGATTTGTACCCAAACCCGTTTCTCAAATTTTATATCCAAACCCCAACCCATACCCAAAAAAAATTTCCAAATTTTAACCAATCCCGGAATGCACCCATATCTTTTTTTATTTAAAAAGTACAATAATAAAAAAATTTTAAATCAAGGATTACTATTGAAAACACTATCAACTGTTTCTGGTCTTAAATTTGATCGGGTTTCATTTATTGTTAAACCAGCTGCACCGAACTCCCTTTCACTGGGTGCACTGGAGACAGGAATTGATAAATAATAAGAACATAATATTGATCGTTTTGGATAATGATCTTTTCACCATTCTAAAATGTTTAAATCCAATTCCTTTTGTACTCTTGAAGACAAATATTTATCGATTTCATTTTCTTCAGTTTCATCATTATCTGAATCATAAAACTGTTGGATTTTTTTTCTTTTAATAGGTCTTATATCATCTTCACCACTACCATCATCATGATTTTTATCACTAGCAAGTTGAAATGAAAAAATCCCACACCAGTGTCTTATTTCATTTTTTACCCATTCAGCATCATAAGATTCCAAAATTTTCAATTGCTTCATCTGGGGATCAAAGAATAAAGCTAATTTATATAATTCATGGATTTTAATTTTATCTATTATTTTTTGATTAACTACCAGTTTGATTTGCTTTAAAATTTCATCATCTGATGACAATGAATTAAAAGAGTTTTATACCAAGGAAGTACAAGATGAAATTGTTGTATATTTTGATGCCTCTAAACATTCACTAGCTTCACAAAATTTTTTCCAGAAAATTAATTAATATTTCTACAATAATAATATCAATAATTTCAACTCGTTCTAATTGATCTTTCTCAGTCAAAGATCATATATCATTACAAAATTGATCTGAAATTGATTCTAACATTTCTAGTTTGCTATTCCGTCTACTTTCTGATTCTTGCTTAAGTGATTTTTCCAATCTACAATATAAAGAACTTTGTTTGAAGTATGTTACCAATGATTTACATCCTTTAATAGTTTAAATAGTAGAAGGAAACAGCAAAAAATTATTTTCTTTAAAAGAAGTTTCCAATACAGTATTAATTCTAAAATAGAAAAAATTTATAAAAACATTATAATAAAATATATACCTATGAGATATACAAGGCAAGTGACCATGGTTTCTAAAAGCTGCAACAAAATTAGCAGCAGAATCTGTAACAAACATGTATTTCTTCATAATAATTTCTGGTGATAAATTATATTTTTTCAAAATACCAAAAATATTATTTTTAATATTTTTTGCTGTATGACTAGTATCTGAAATTTTGAAACTGCAATACTTGTTCTTTTAAAGACTAACCATCTATGTAATGTACTGTCAAAGATGTATAACTGATCTTTCGATAGTAAATGCACCATCTATTTTTTTAAATATTTCAATTAATTTAGTGCCTAAATTTGACTTGATTAATCCTGCTATTTTTACTATATTACATGATATTATTGTAGGATTTGGTAATAATTCATCAATAGATAAAGGACCATATACTGAACCAATGTTAACTAATTCTTGAGCAAATTCTTGAAAACCTTTACCAGACACTATTTCAAATGGTCTCAAATCACGACAGACAAAATTTATTGATTAATTCTTTAACATTAGCTGGTGCTTCATTTTTTTGCAAAAGTGAAGTAATTTTTGATTGATTATCTAAGTTGCAACACCTATGTCTTTGTAAATTTGAGGTTCCTAGTTTATAATTATATTTAGTTATATAGTCACAATTCCTACAAACAACATACCCAATCATCTTGTCATCCAGGTCAACTAGTTCAGAAAACTTATCCCAAACATCACTTCTTCCTCCTTGCTTCTCTTTTAAAAATAGTTCTCCTGCCCTCAATTTAGATCTTATTTGATCAATATTCAATGTATCTGACATGGTATGTTATTATTATATCAAAATTAATGTGATATTACTAAATTATTATTAGATATATATATATATATATAATATTATTATTATTTTAATAATTTGCTAGAAATCTATTTCAAAATTCACGCGCGTGAATAATAAAAAATTTGGATGCAAATTCTGATTGGTTAATTTGAATTTCATAATATTTTCAGGTTGCACAAAATCCGAGTTGTTCATCTCATATTCAAACCCGATAAAAACATACTATATACAGCCATCCAACCCCGTACCGCAATCCAGATATGGTCCGAGTAAATTGCCCGTTGCAGGCCTCTAATTCCAAGATCCTTTCTTTTATAATTTTCTTGTGTCTCCTTTGTTTCATCAGTTGATTACCAAGGAGCTAAGTTTTTCTTTTGCCGAATACCATTCAGTTCCCATACCTCATTTACTACTAAACTCGAACATTTCTTATATTAATCTTAATAACGTGATACATAGATAAAATAGTACTTTATGTTCCAGGGTCAACTAATTTTAGTGTATAATTATTATTATCAAATGAAAGTTTTACGCAAAAACTTTTTATAATATCAATATTGATTGATTGAGTTACTTTGCAATAATAAAACTTTAATTTTCATTTTTATCTTTATACTTTCTTATTGCAGAGAAAAATAATAGATAATTAACATCCTGATAAAATAAAACTGCGATAGAATCATTATTTTTATTAAACGTTAATAAGCTTTTAAAAATAAAATGATTAGTAACGTGATTTGCTTTAATGAGCAAGCAAAGATTAAGACTAACGTTAGTTAACTAGTGGGTGTTAATAAAGTATTATCCAAAGGTTGATCGGAAGTATTATTGTAATCGTAAACGTAAGGCTGTTAAACAAGCTACTTAAGTTGTTTTGCAAGTAAACTAAAGCGAATTTGCAATCGGTAAATGAATGTAAACGAATAAATCGATCACAAATGAATAAAAAGAGCCCTTGAGCTTTGTAAATGTCACCTTTATTTATTTACAGTTATCTGGTACCAATGAATGTGCACTCACAGATTCGTCCAGGTGCAAGAGAGAAGAAACCAAAGTAAATCATAAATTAATTAATTGACAAGCACCGAATTATTGCAAGTTGCTTGCAATAAACTGACAAGAGTAGCAAAAGTTAAGCCATAATTGTTAATCAACTGAAATGATACTACTACTTGACAAGAATCAAAAAGTTTATTATTTCAAAACATTATTATAATTTTAAGAAACAAAACAAGAATAAAATAAAAAGATAAATAAAAAGATAATGAATAAATTTATAGTGGAGATTAAATTAGTCATTCATTGGTTCTTTTCTTTTACTATTGTTATTAGAATTTAATGTTTATTAATTAATTAGTAATAATCAATGGATAGTAATTTCCAATTAATAATGAAATTTTTATTCACCTTTGTTAAAATTCTAGAGAAAAGAATTAAAATCAAGATTATTTAACGAACTATCATTACTAGTATAAATTTTCAAGCTTTTTGATTTAGCAATCTCTTCATCTAATATTCTACTTTTATGATACGCATCTGGATGTGATTCGTGTACTTGTTGCGAATCACTACCACCACTGCTGCTGTTACCATGTTTTTTGATTTTAGGAAACTTGAATAATCTTTTTATAACAATTTGATAGCGAGTGTTTTTCTGGATTGGTAATTTGTAAGAAAGATGTAGTTTTTGATAAAATAGTGATTTTTCTACAATTGATAGGGGAGACCACTACCAAAAATTGCTAAAGATAAATAATTGTCTAGTTCTTCTTTTTCTTTAATTGAACATTTACAAATAAATCCTTTCATGACTTTTTTTTATTTTTTCTATGAACATTATCAAAATCTTTCCTTTTAGCTTTATTTTTTTTTTTAACAAAATTTTCAATTCATTTGGTGCGTCATTACAAGAATGTAAATGTTTAATCATGCGAAGAGGTTGTCCATCAAAAGTATGTTGACAATATAAAAGTTATTCCACTCTTCGTATGGACTTGTTAAAGGAAAATATTAAAGATTTTATTTCATTATAAAGTCTTTGTATATTGTAGGTTCAAATAGCTGATGAAAAATAATCAAATCGGAACTCGAACGCTCCAAATTCATACGGTTTGACAAACTCCTCAATTTAAAAAAAATGATGGAAGAGAGTCTTGAACCACTGTAAAGGATCCCAACAGCATCCTTATTGGAAGCAAAGCATTGGGAAATATTGTTGGGAACTTAAAGGACAAAAAACCTATTAAACATGCGTTGGGAGCAACTTTTTGTAAAACTTTCATTTTATTAATTAAAAGTCAATTCGTATTAATATGAAAATTAAAAAATTAAAAAAAAAATTAAATTGGAAATGTTCCAAATGAAAAAATATTATTTAAGTTATAATATATTACAGATGGGATTATTCGGCAGAACACATATTATTTCTCGAGAGGCTTTATCCTTTAATCTTTTTATTTCTGCTTCTGCTGCTCTTTTTTGTTCTTCCGCTGCCCTTCTTTGTTGTTCCATTGCTTCTCGAAATTTTCTATCTGCTTCATCCGATTTTCTTTTGATTTCTCTTTGCGCTTCTTCATTTAAATTTTTCATTTTAATTTCCGCTTCTTCTCTTTGTCTTGCCATTTCTTCTTCCTGTCTTGCCACTTTCTCTTGTTGTACTTTCAAATCTTCTTCAATCTCACCTACAAGTTTTTCTAATATTTCTTTTTCAGTCATATAACTTCCAATTCTTTCATTTAACTGGTCTAAATTTTCTGGTCTGTAAACTTCTTTACAAGCATTTAAATGCAATAGAATTCTTGTTCTTGACTCATCTCTGATTAGTTTGTTGGTTTCTTTAGCACGACCAACTAATGGTGGATTATCTATATGTATAACCTTTTTACATGCTTTGATTACTGCTGAAAGATCTTTGTTTTTATTGATCATTTGCCGTTTATCATTTTCACACTCATCGGCATCTTCAAATTCAGGAAAATTGGTTCGTACAATGGTAGTATATTTGACAACATTATTGTCAAAAATAATGGTTCTTAATAAATCATAAGCATCCACTTCTTCTTTGGTAAATCTACCACTTGTAACAAATAGTATTTGACTTAACCCATTTTTGATGGAATGAGAAGCTTCTGCCAGTTTATAAAGGACTTCTTGTTGGGTTAATTCTGTGTCACCAAGACCAACTGTATCGATGAGTCTAAACGACATCCCATCAATTAAAAATTCTCGAACATTGGCATCTCTAGTTTCACTGGTAGAACCCGAACTTTCTTTAAATTCTTTTGTGCCGCTTATTACGTTCGCTACGGTGGATTTTCCGCTTCCTGTTCTACCAATTAATAATATTGTTCGACTTTGCATTTTTGATTTTTTTTACGCAAAAAAATAATTTGTAAATGAGTAAAAAGTAATCAAACGCTACATTTATATCCCTCGTTATCAGTGATATCAATAATTGTTGTTATCCATTTTTATGTTAAAATGGTACGATAACAAATGAAAACGATTTTTCCATGTTACGCATTAATATTAACTATTTATGTCGCGAAAATCAATACAAATTAAGAAATAATAGAATATTTACTAACGATATATAGAAATACTGGGTCATTTAAACTGTAATGATGATGATGATGAAAAATACTTCTATTTATTATTAAATAAAATTTTTTTCAAAAAACAAGGATATTTATTGACTGTAATGACCTTTATTGTAAATAATAAATGAACACTTACGTCCTCCAAACTATTATCAAACCGGTTAAATCATAGATTGGTCTTGCCAAAACAACAGCAGCAAAGATAATCAAGAAATTTATGTTAAAATGGTACAGTAACAAATTATGTTGGCATTAACTATATATTTATGCTGCGAAAATCTTTACAAATTAAGAAATAATAGAATATTTACTGTAATAATAACAATGATGATGATTAAAATACTTACTATTTATTATTAAATAAAATGAAAAACAATATTTTTTTCAAATACAATGAATGGTATTTATTGACTGTAATGATCTTTCTTTATAAATGAACACTTCACTTACGTACTACAAACTATTAACAAACCGGTTAAATCTTGCCAAAACAACAGCAGCAAAGATAATCTTTACAAATTAAGAAATAATAGAATTTATTGTAATAGAATTAATAGAATACAATAATTTGCTCATTTTAAATTTCCAAAGACTGTAATAATAACAATGATGATGATGAAAATACTTACTATTTATTATTAAATAAAATGAAAAACAATATTTTTTCAAATACAATGAATGGTATTTATTGACTGTAATGATCTTTATTGTAAATAATAAATAAACACTTACGTACTACAAACTATTAACAAACCGGTTAAATCATAGATTGGTCTTACCAAAACAACAACAACAAAGATAATCAAGAATATTTGAATTGGTTCAGTTGATTTAAACTTTTTTCTTCAAATTGTATGGTACAGTACTTGTAAAAAATTGATAGCAAATTTTGGTTTTTTTTAAATTAAGGAAGGACATTTATAAAAAATTATAGTAACCCAATTATTTTTTTTTTTCGGTTATTCTTCGCGATCAGTAATCTCATTAAATTTTTGAGTAAAGACATCAACCGGCTAAGTCGACTTGCTTAAAATGGTCTATTTTTCTACATATATACATACATACATTATCTAAAATTTATATACCATAATGACGACGAAGTTGCTCGCCGGCTTTGTGTTTTTATTCTCAAATTAAAATGTAATTTATTATTATTATTCATGAAATTATAAAAATTAAAACCATTTAAATACACAAGCTAAACTATCTAGAGTTTCACCGACTAGTTGAAAAATACCGCATTTTTTCTCAACATGTTCTCTTGATTTTTGAGCGATTTGATTTTTTAAATTTTTTATTTCTTCTTGTGTTGCTCTTTTTTGTTCTTCTATCGCCCTTCTTTGTTCTTCCATTTCTTTTTGAAATCTTCTGTCTGCTTCATCTAAACGTCTTATGATTTCTCTTTGCATTCCTTCATCTAAATTTTTCATTTTAATTTCTGCTTCTTTTCTTTGTCTTGCCATTTCTTCTTGTTGTCTTGCAATTTTCTCTTGTTGTATCCTCAATTCTTCTTCCATGCTACCTACAAGTTTTTCTAACATTTCTTTTTCAGTCATATAATTTCCAATTCTTTCGTTTAACTGGTCTAAATTTTCTGGTCTATAAACTTCTCTACAAGCACTTAAATGTAATAAAATTCTTTTTCTTGATTCGTTCCTGGTTGTTCTGTTGGTCTCTTTAGCACGACCGATCAATGGTGGATTATCTAGATGTAGAACCTTTCTACATGCTCTAATTACTGCTGCAATATCTTCATTTTCATTAATCATTTTTCTTTTATCATTTTCACACTTGTTAACATCTTCAAATTCGGGAAAATTAGTTCGTACAATGGTAGTATACTTGATAACATTATCGTCAAAAATGACGGATCTTAACAAGTTGTAAGATTCCACTTCTTCTTTGGTGAATCTTCCGCTTGTAACAAATAATATTTGATTTAACCCGTTTTTGATGGAATGAGCGGCTTCTGCCAATTTATAAAGAACTTGTTGTGTAGTTAGTTTTGTATCACCAAGACCGACTGTATCAATGAGTTTAAATGATTCTCCATCAATTAAAAATTCTCGAATATTAACATTCCTGGTTTCACTAGTAGAACCTGAACTTTCTTTAAATCCTTCAGTGTTGCTGATTACATTTGCTAACGCGGATTTCCCATTTCCTGTCCTGCCAATTAATAATATTGTTCTCATTTTTGATTTTTGATTCTTGCGCAAAAAATCAATTTGCAAATGAATAAGTCATATTTATATATCTCGTTATCGATAACATCGATCATTACGTCTATTTTTGTGTTTAAATGGCACAGTAACGGATAAAGATTTTTAATTTCTCCATATTTGATTAACGTTGGCGTTTTTCATATATGAAGATCATTAAATAAAGAAATAATAAAAAAGAGTCGATGCCTCAGGAAAACCGGTTATATACATTTACTATGATTGGTACATACTCGCTTGCAGTAAACTAATTACAAAAAAAGATTCTTTGGAAAATGAAATCAAACATACACTCTCTAGGCAAAAGTTTCAGCCACCACAAATCAAATAATTCCGAAAAAACGTACATTAAAAATTATGCACGTAGAATTTAAGGTTACTGTCAAGTCTAGGAAAATAACAATCAAAAAAAAAAAAATTCGTTTTTTTAAAAATGATTTAATCCTACGTTGTCCATTAATTAAAGGCTTAGATACAGGAACACGAGAATAATATTTAAATCATGTAAACTTCTTCTACTAGTTTTAGTTGAAGCCTGTAAACCTGTAATTGCATTGAATTGGTCTTTTATTTGCTTGGCAGATTTACTATTTTCTTTTTTTTTTTTTCAACTCATTCTTGTGATCAGCATCTGAAAGTTTAGCACGTCCCGCTTCTTGGTAACTCTTCAACACTATCTCTCTCCTTACAATTGTTCTTGCAAAGCCAAATGTTTTAGAAATATGTGAAATGGTATTACTGCCTTTGTAAAGTCCAATTATTTGTCAATGTTCAGATTCTTTTTCAATTTTAAAAAAATAAACAGCAAAAAAACGTAAAAATATGAAAAACTCAAGATATCACATGCCAGAATTTCAGGTGTAGTTATTATATAAGTTTTTGGGCCAAATTCTTTATTTTTTGTATTTTCCTAGGAATCACAGAAACTTTAAATAATTTTGAGAACGTTAGCTACAATTTGGCATATCTATCTTTTTATGATGTACATTTATGCGGGGTTATTAGGTTTGTGGCGACCGAAACTTTTGTCCAGGGAGCATACATTATTTAAAATTTATATATTGTAATGATGACGAAGTTTCTCGCCGATTTTATTCTTAATATTAAAATATGTTTTTTATTATACATGAAATTATAAAAAATTAAAACCCAAAGAAATTATCTATAGCTTCACCAATTCGTTGGAGAAAACCTTTTGACTTGACATGTTCTCTTGCTTGTCGAGCGATTTCATCCTTTAATCTTTCTACTTCTGCTTCTGTTGCTCTTTTTTGTTCTTCTGCTGCCCTTCTTTGTTCTTCCATTTCTTTTTGAAATTTTCTATCTGCTTCGTCTAGTTGCCTTAGGATTTCTCTTTGCATTTCTTCATTTAAATTTTTCATTTTAATTTCCGCTTCTTCTCTTTGTCTTGACATTTCTTCTTCTTGTCTTTCCATTCTTTCTTGTTGTACCTTCAAATCTTCCTCCATGCTACCTACAATTTTTTCTAGCATTTCTTTTTCAGTCATATAATTTCCAATCCTTTCGTTTAACTGATCTAAATTTTCTGGTCTATAAACTTCTTTACAAGTACTTAAATGTAATAAAATTCTTTTTCTTGATTCGTTCCTGGTTATTCTGTTGGTTTCTTTAGCACGACCGATCAATGGTGGATTATCTACGTGCATAACCTTTCTACATGCTTTAATTACTCCTGCGAGTTTTTCATTTTCATTAATCATTAGTTCTTTATCATTTTCACACTTCTCGACATCTTCAAATTCAGGGAAAGTAGTTCGTACAATGGTAGTATACTTGACAACATCATTGTTAAAGATGATGGATCTTAATAAGTCATAAGATTCCACTTCTTCTTTGGTGAATCTTCCGCTTGTAACAAATAATATTTGATTTAACCCGTCTTTGATTGAATGAGCGGCTTCTGCCAATTTATAAAGAACTTCTTGGGTAGTTAATTTTGTATCACCAAGACCGACTGTATCAATGAGTTTAAATAACACCCCATCAATTAAAACTTCCTGAATATTAGCACTTCTGGTTTGACTAATAGAACCTGCACTTTCTTTAAATATTTCACTACCGCTAATTACGTTTGCTAATGCGGATTTTCCATTTCCTGTTCTACCAATTAGCAATATCGTCCTTCTTTCGTAATTTTTTTTTCCCATTTTTATGATTTTATGTATAATTCAAAAAAAATTTCTCTTTTTATTTATATATCTCGTTATTTAATGTCGATCACTGTAGCCATTTTTATGTTAAAATGGTACTCTTAAATTTATCCCCATCTGATTATTTTTAAACTGGGTCCGGCGAACAAGTTAGTTCCTGTTTTGACTCTAAGAGATTATCATGATAGCTTAATAAACTCGTTTTTAACTATGAAAACAATAAGATCATTATCATCATATCTGCTAAATTCAATGGTACTATATAATTTATTGTTTCCTAAATTGGAAAAAACTAATAAGCCTTTTTATTTATTTATTATTTTTTGTTGGTGTTACAGAAAAGATTTATGCACCCCGTAGATATTTCCATAATACAAAATTCGGAGTTTCGTATGCGTAATAGTGGTAACATTCGTGGCATCAAGCCTCGTGCGCCATTATTTACTACGCATTTGGCCAACACTGATTACACTAATTGGAACTTTTCGATGTGACAAATATTTTTTAACAGTATTAGTATTAGGGATGTTAATCGATCCTTAACCGTCAGTCCTATACTGGGACCAGAGTCTCCCTTTCACACCCCAAATTTTCCATTAATATTCTTTAGAGAGAGGAACCTTTTTTTTTTAAAAAAAAGGAATAATCAAAATGCTAATTGTTGAGTCTCAAAATAATTTTTAATGTCTGTCTGTCCAGGGTGATTTCAGACATCGTTTGTGTTGCTTCCATGTTCCACGTACATGGAGTCTTTTCAATAGAAAGAGAGGGACCCAACATATTCTAAAAACGATTCTATATATAACCACACCCACTTTACATGATAAAGCTTAAACTTGAAATGCAGATCTTTTTCGATTTTCTCAATGTTGGATCTCTCTTTCTATTGGAAGGACTCCACGTTTGTCCTGTTTTAAAAAAATGGAAGATACTCTGTAGAGCAAAAGGTCAAAGGATAAATAGTCTATGAAATTTATAAAAGTGTGGACAATGGAATGAATAAATCGAAGCCTAGTAGTATTGGTAGAACTGTTGAGGATATTTTATACGAATTTGCAGATATAAAGCATAAGTTATACTTGCATGTTGTTGGTTTTCGCAGTCTTCGGTATAGCATAGGGTTTCTATTCGTAATACATTCAATCTTTAATTCCAATTAAAAAATCTATTCGAATTATTCGTTTTATCCGTTTTATTTAAGTTACTAGTTTATTCATTTTATAAAATATAGATCTTATTTCTTTAACAAGATAATATAAACAATAATTACATTTATAATCTATAATACTACTATAATTGCTAGTACTATGACTTAGGGAAAATGTCAGCTGCTACTATTTATTATTATTACCATATTCAAGGACTAAGGAAAAATAGATTGACAAAGAAAAAATTTTTAACTGGATTGGATTATTCGAATTATTCTTATTAATTTTATTATTATCGTCCATTTTATTCTAATTGCTAGTTTTATTCGAATAGAAGCACTAGTGTATCACCATTAGTAAATGCATTGTAAATAGCTTGGCACATTATTTTACTGTTGATTTAAAGGATAGTCAAGCCAAACCCATGAACTTTTTTATCATGATGAAATAGTCTAATTGAAATCCATCAACATCAGGAACGAACTAGAACTAAGCATTGTATTAATTCATATGCAACAGTACACTCTGTTATACGCAAATGGTTAATTTTCGGTCACCTTAACAGTACAAACAGTACACATGGAATCCGAGAAAATTTAAAAGTTAATTGGGAGTTGATTATGACATTAAAGAAGATTTTACTGTTGGTATTATTAGTGCAATTACTTTACTATGATTTTTATCAATCATACTAACTTTTGTTCATTCATCTATACGAATTGGAATTATCAAGAAACAAAGCATGTGATTTGATGATTTTATTATTTCCCCAATTCAATAATTATCATCAACAATAATTTTGGTAATATACATGTACTATAGATAGTATAGCAATTTAATGAAAATGAGATCAAATTTATAACGTATAAAAAACCCCAGCAAAGGTAAAGGTCCAAGGTTTTCAAATCATCATTCAAACTATACCTCGTTTCCTAACCTCCATTTAAAGTTCCCTCTAATGGTTCGGTTTTCAGTTCAGTTTCAGTTTGATTGGCAACCGAATAAATTTCATGTTTTCATTGTTCCGAATGGAATTTCGATAGTTGTTCAGCGCACTACTTGACAACAATGGAAATAGAAATTAACGATTACATTATATTGTATTTTGAGTCATCTATAAGGCATGAGGCTTGAAATTCTAGTATACTAGTACAAATAATTCAATAATATTAATTATATAGTCAATAGTAAAACCCCTCGGACTCGATCACGTCTTTTTTTAGTAATTTGTAACTTTAGTCATCTGACTTTATTTGCCCAATCATAATATAAGGATTTCTATGTAGGTGTTGTTTGTTAAAAAAAAAAATTTTTTTAAAATATCAAAAACGCGTCGCGTCAGCTATTTTAAAAACTCGAACTTAATAATAAAGAACGATGACTGGGAGGAGAACGATAAGAAATCCTTGGACTAGTAGGTTTTTTTTTAGAAAAGTATGTATTAAATTTACATACATTATTTGGTAATTAGATGAATTTGGAGTGGATTGACGTGAGTCAACCTTAAAATTTATACTTATTAGATTATCATCGTTAGCCAATTCTGAGAATTCTGCTGCTGCTATTGCGCGTGCTTTATTAGCATCACACTGGGATTAAAAGATATTATTCAGAGACAGTTGGATGTTGAAGAATATATATCGGATGATGATGTTATTTCTCAACAAAAAAACCTTGACAAAACAAAATCCTTTCATGGATATGAAAAACACAATTTCGAAACTGGAATGTATTATACAATCTCAAATAATTGATGAAGCAGAAAAAACGCATATATAGACAAGAAATTGTGTCCAAATATTTGCAACAAAAATGATCTTGACACCATTCCACAACATTGACACAGCTACAAAGACCCAGGGTCGGCAAGTTGAATAGTCCATTGCCAAAACTCGGGTTGATCTTGACACCACTCTACAACACTGTCGCAGCTACAAAGACCCAGGGTCGGCAAGTTGACTAGTCCATTGCCAAAACTCGGGTTGATCTTGACACCATTCTACAACACTGTCGCAGCTACAAAGACCCAGGGTCGACAAGTTGACTAGTCCATTGCCAAAACTTGGGTTGATCTTGACACCATTCTACAACACTGTCGCAGCTACAAAGACCCAGGGCCGGCAAGTTGACTAGTTCATTGCCATTAAAAAAAAATACTAAATATGGTTAAAGTGTTACTCGTGGACCAATGGATCACCAATTTGCCAACCCTGTATCAAGATGACCCCTACACCACTTACTCTAACAAATTTATTGGATTGCACATAGTAAAAGAAGATCTCATTTTTAGATGCAAGCGTGAAGCTTCAGGAAAAGAAAAGAAGTCTGATTCAGTAGATCTAAAATTTGAAGCTTTAGAACCAGATTCAGACCCATGTTCATATGAAACACCAATATTTGAACTTGAATTTTATATTGTACTTTATCTTATTCACTATTAATATTATTAGTATTCGTGTTGTAATCTTAACTAATTACAAAATATAACAATAAATGAATAATTAATTCTAGCAAAGAAAAGCACCTTTATTTTTTTATTTGATTTAATGAATAATTGGGCAAGTAAAGAATTCACAAAATCCAAGAATTTATTATTTGCCCTCATATCTTAAATCAGAACTTTTAATAATGATTCGTTAAATCGAGGTCTGCTAAACCGAGACTCATCATGTATTAATATTATAATATCAAACATATTAATATGTTGCGATAATAATGATTACATTATAGTTTGGTAATTCCAAATCAGTATTTTAATTTAGCAATTAATTTAATCAAAATTAATTTAATCTTCATATTTATTGAACGTGATACCACAAGGTCACTACTGATATAATGTGATCATAGACATCCATTAAACTATTTGATGATACTCTTTTTGTGCTTATTTTTATCTAGACGCCAATAAAATTTCAATGCAGATCATAAAAAAATACACCTCCAATCATTCTACGTGACAAATCGTTCGACCATTGACAATTAATTTTTTATAAATCGATCAATTGGTCATGCGTGCATGCGCATATGTATTTATTTATAATAATTAGGAGTGATAAATGGCATTTTTACAATTCGAGCCTTTTGTAATTGATTACGAACTTTGACTTGAAGTTCGGTATTGGATTTGTGAAACCCTGATTTTACATATCCCATTGCAATATTCTTCTTGAGGGATGGTGATGGTCCACCACTTGTAACTTTACCTAGAGATAGAGAATTTTTTCATAAATGAATAAACTAATAAATTAAATAAATAATTATAATAAATGTGGATATTTTTTTGATTATACCAATTTTTACTTCTTCCATATTAAAAATCTCAACGTTTTCTATATATGTATATATAAATATAATTAATTCATGTAAATTGTTGTTTTTTACTTAATAATTTAAATTTTACCTCTTGCTGGTGCACCTTCAACTATGAGGCCAACCCGACGACGAGTTACCCCATTTTTAATGTGATTAAGGATATGATTTGCACCCAAGAATCCGCCTTCTTGTCTTCTGCGTTTTCCTAATATAAGTTAAAAATAATTAATTTGACAATAATTTTACTCTCAAATAACAATAATAATAATAGTACCAATTGTCCATGTTAAACCAGCTTCAACAGGTGATGTTGTATCATCAAGATCATGACCATATAAACAAAGTCCTGCTTCTAAACGTAAACTGTCACGAGAACCTAATCCAGCCAATTGTACGAAAGAATTTTCCAATAATGTATTTGCTAATTTAACTGCTTCAGTTGAAGGGACAGCGATCTTTCAAAATAATTTTTTAATATTATTAATATTTGTGTATATATGGATATAACACTATGGATAACTATTATTATATGTGTGTGTGTGTACCTCAAACCCATCTTCTCCTGTATACCCAGAGCGAGTCACGTGACAATCCACTCCATTTATTTTTAAAGTACGCGCCGTCATAAATTTAAAATCATTTAAATTTGCTTCAGTCAAATTCTGAAGAACATTTGATGATTTGGGACCTTTTTTTAGGTAAAAAAAAACTCCCAAGACTTTAGAAAATATTTATATCCAATTAATTAAAGAGCAAACATTCATAATGATACCTTGTAAAGCCAATAACGCATGATCATTAATAACCTCTAATGATGCATCTCCACCTTGATTTTGAAATTTTCCCAATTCATTTCTGATATGTGCTAAATCTTTTTGTGCGCAACCAGCATTTGATACAATGTAGATGTGATCATGCTTCTTACAAATCACTGTATCGTCAATGATACCACCTTGTTCATTGGTAAAAACTGATAATGTTGAAGTGTCGAGTGGCAATTCTTTGAGATCTGCCACAACTAATTTTTCAATAAATGTTACAGAATCTTTACCTAAGATTCTGTCAAATAAATAAATATTTCCTTTTCGATTTAGATTCGAGTATATATGTGTATGCGTTCTTTGGAGGTGAAAATGTAAATTGATTACCTCATTTGAAGCATGTGAGATACATCAAATAATGAAGCGTCTGCGCGCGTGTGCAGATGTGAAGCCAATATACCCATATTTGAGTATAAAACTGGCATTGACCAACCAGCAAAAGGAACCTTTTTGATCAAAAAATTAAATATATTATTTATTTGTGAGAGCGAAAAATAAAAACTACACAGTTTTTTACTTGCCATTTTTCCGCCTTTTTCGACATGGAAATCATATAACGGAGTTTTTTTCAATTCCTAATATTATATATATATATATATATATATATATATATATATATACGTATGTATTAATAACGCTAATAATGAAGATTTAATAAATTTAACAAAGAGAAATGTCATGTTAAATACCACTTTTTCATTTTTAAAACTAACAGTTCTTTTACCTCTTCATTTGTAGACGAAGTGAAACTTTGTTTTTTAATCAATGATTGTAATGAAAAAACTCCTCGATTTTTGTCGAATTTGGGAATCAAATTTCTACTATTACGAGTGCAGAAGAGATGATGACAATTATTAGTTAAAGATGATGAAATGTTTTTCATTTTTTTAAAAAATTTTTGAAATCTAAATTTTTTGTGCAGTGTGGCACAATAGGTGTTCATGGTATAATGTTAACCAAATATGGGATCTGTTACTGATAATTTCCATATATGGTTAACATATTCCTACCTGTTTTATAAATAATAAAGCTATTTTTAAACATTACTTCATCAGATATGATTTTAGTTTAAGTTTTTCTAATCCCACTATATGTGGCTGCACACTGAATTTCATAAAATTTCATCCAATTTTAATGATTTACGAATTATTGTTGGGAATTTGAACGATTGATGATTATGATTATGAATGTAAGGAATGTATAGGTATAATGTCATGTATTTCGAATTGAATTAAAAATTTGAACAATTGAAATCGAAGTGATGGGTAAAAGTGCAACATTATCAATTCTTTCATCACTTGAACTTGACATTCTTGCGAAATTTTTTTTAAGGAACGTGAAAATTTTTTGTTGAAAGCTCGCAGTTTTGAATTGGGTAATTGGCAGACAGTATATACCCGCAATGCCCGGACCGGAAAGTCCTGAAAAAGTCCTAAGCTTTTTTTAAACGTGAAATGTTTGGAATATTTCGAGGTAGCTTTTTGGTCAACTTCAATTATTTTACCGTTGTATGGCAGAATTTGAGTTAACTTTTTAGCTACACTCGTCGATTAATTGCAAGCTTTTATACTAATATACAATGCACTTCAATTAACTTATTTATCCTGCTTACTTGTACCTAGAATACTTTGGTGAATCTGCGAGCACACAATTTATGGTTTATGGTACAAATAACAACGAATTATATATAATAAAAGCAACAAAGGCTCCCGCAGAATTTTTATTTCATTTTTACTTTTCTTTGGTCGATTAAAGTCGGACGTATGTTTACAACAATTACTTTAACACAATACAATATGTGATAACGATAATCTTTAGCTCTTTGTATAGATTGTTCATCAGTAATAACTGTTAGCGATACTTTTGCCAATTGGTATTATTAATATTGAACAATTAAACCCATTTATAAAAAGTTATGTTTATGCGTAACAAAACCAAAAATCAAATCTTTGCTTTATACCAAAGAAAATAACTCAAAACCACATCATTCTGATAACTATTAAACCCTACTATTTAATTTCCGACCACAAAAATGTTTTATTAAACAAAAAAGAATTAATTGTATGTTATGTATAAATATATATTTTCTATGTTTATTTATGTATATTTGTTATTATAAATAAATTGGTAAATGGATGGATGAATGGATGAATGAAGAATTCAATAAAAGTTTAGTTGATAAATTTTGACAATTTTTAAATCATCCGTTATACACGGACTTTTTAGTATATAATGGTCTCATCATCACATTAATTTTTAAAAAAGTCATTTTAAATAAATATCAGAGATATTAGAAGATGTTTGTTCATTTAAATGTTGTTTCAAGCCTGGCTGCTTTAATTTTTCCATTTCCTTTTTTTTAAGAGAAATATTAAATATTAAATATAATACATAATGTGTAAATATATTATTTATTTTATGATTTAATAAATTTGTTTTACGTTTTAATAAATTTGCTTTACGTTTTAATTTAAACAGGACCGTCGATAATCCGCCTTCTAGTTCTTCGTCCACACTTTCAAATTCTTCATTCCTCCACCTTCTAGTCCTTCGTTTACAATTTCATAATCATCTTTTCAAGAATTATTGTTAGTCGATTTACAGGAAGGGCAAAGGTTACAAATGTGAGGAGAAATAAAAAGTTCGTCATTGTGATCGGGGATAATTCCATTAACACTTGAATCGTTTTGAGAATATTGACAATGTTGAGATAGATTATAATCGCTGAGGTCACATGCGAAATTGGAGACGCTTGATATTAAAATTTTGAAAATCTACTATATAAAAACAACTACTGCGCGATTCATTTTTTAACTGTAGCTTTAATAGTAATTTAACGATTAAATGCATACGGAAATTCATGTGTCCTCTCGTATGTACTATCTGCCAAAATTTGCTTTAACATAGTAAAAACCTGTTCACAAAGATCAATAGAACTCAATAAGCAATTAATATTTTGCAAAATCTCACAGTCATGATAAAGTTCGAGTCATCATCTATTCATTGGATCAATAGGAATGGACTTCTATTCTTTCAAAAATCACATGTGGAATTGAAGGATATAGACGTTGAGCACCATAGAATAGTTGCTGTTGAGCTAATATAAACACACGTCAATCTCATGAATATCGGCTACAATGAGGGAGCTGATTACGAGCGAAAGAAAAAGTTAAACCAGGAGAGGTGCTTTTGAGAAGTGTCTATTTTTTTTTTTTTTTATAATGATATTTTGTTAATTATTATTTTTTAATAGATTAATTCTTTGATATCTTCAATATCACAATTATTTGAAATAGCTCTATTTAGGTCTTGGGTTGGAGCTTGGGCGAAGAAGAATAATTTTTATTTATTTACATTTGTAACAAAATTAGATTCGATTTTTAATTGGATCATGTAGTATATATGGGGCATGCTGCAACAAAACCAGACAAAGTGAACATTGGTGTTACCAAAGATTTCAGGGATCAATGGTGTTGGTTTAACATTACGAATATATTTATTATCGTTATTATTATTATTTTATTTTAATTCGTTTATTTTTATTTTGTAACTCGTTTGTTTATTTGTTAGATGTTACATAACACATTTACAGATGTAACGTTAACTTTAAAAATAGATTTAACTAATGAACACGTTAACATTAATTAATTGTTATGTTACGGACAACGAGTTACGTATCATTCATATTAATCATTAATTAGAGGACATTAAATAATGTTGGAGAACATTAACTCATTTCATAACATAACTATGTTTCCTCTTTAAGTCCTTTATAAGTATCCCGGGAAACATAAGCTAAATTCATATAACATGTATTTTTATTAATATTTATTTATTGTAATTTATATTTAAAGGAATTATAAATATAGGCCATAAGAGTAGTCATGAGTATATTTGTAGAATTCTCAGAAACTTTGAATTATAAATTGAATGTACCAATCATTATAAAAATTACTTGATATATCCAAAATCCAGCATATAGTAAAGGAGATTAGCTTGAGAGATACTTAGAGTAGAAATATTAAAATATAATGTGCAAAAGGTATAAAAGCGCTCTTAAAACTACCTTTGCTCTACATCCTTGTTTGGATTTAATAACTCATAATAATAATAATTAAAACATAAGAATCTTTGATCTAAAACTTGTTAAGTTTCACTTAATAAAAACTTTCTATTTTACCTTTAAATGTTCTTGCAATTTATTAATTAAAAAAAATTATTACATGCAATTTTAGTTGAGATAAAAAAATAACAATTATATTAGACAAAGCTTATATTTTTTCCCATCAGACAAACTTCTTTTCTTTTATTTCAGAGGTTTTTTGCCTTCACTCTTGCTACTCTACTCTGTGAGTACTATTGCAGTGGAAGTAGTGGTAGTAGAAGAAGTGGATTGCAAAAGAAATTGGCGGATTTTGATCATTGCTTCTAATACTGCATGCCTCCCTTCTGGTACTGCCAAATCTAGACCAGATTCTCTATCATTTTCCCCTGGCCATCTTAAGATCTCAATTGATTCCTTTCGTGGCAAGCCTCTCCTGAGTTCTTTCCAATATGCTTCAGGAATTTCAGCTTTGTAAAATGTCACATATGATGAGATGACACGGATTGCATAAATAGTCTGATCAATAATTCTTCCAGCTAGATTCCAATTTTCCCATCCACAAGCAAGTATCTCTGCAAGTATTTGTGCTTCTCCATAGTCAGGTGGTGAAACATTTTTCAAATGCTTATCCTGTTAAAAGATTTTGAGATGTCAAAATTTGAAAATGTAGGATTTTCAAGTGATCAATACATACAAACCTCTATTACTAAAATAGTAACTCTACCCATATCCACCACAAAGTCAGGATTTGCAATCACTTTCTTGTCATCAACCATCAGCCTGTATTTTTCTTTGATTCTAGATTTAAAGTATGGTGATGAGCTTAAGAATTAATTAGAGTACATAACAAGCAAAGACATTTATGATTGTTCACCTAATACCAAATGGCCACTCATCAAATCCACATGCGCGAAGTAACAGAAGATTTACTAATGAGTTGGTCTTAGATTCCTCTGTACCTATATTGACACCTACATTTGTGACAACTCTGTTTAGAGACCAAAATAACTGCTTTACATATCCGTCTGTAGTATTAAGCTTGTTAACATCGAATTTTTCCTCTCTGAGAACATCACGACCGATATTTGGAAGAAGGTATTGACTTGGAAGGTTCGTGGCTAGAAAATATTTAAATTATAAGTATAGGTTCGCTGAGATTATTTTCATATTTCTTACCTTCAACATCAGGTATGACGCTCCCATACTCATCTGCTGGTTTGAAGGTCGCATTAAATGCCATCATATCTTCTTCTATAAATCTAGATGCAACAGAAGGGAGATCTTTTAATCCATAGCTGGAACGGGAACTAGAATCAGAACCAGAACTTATTCTTAAGGACTTCATCAGCAAATTTTTTGTACATAAAATCTATATAAATATTATGCAATTTTATATAAAATTATCTATGTAAATTTTAC